GAATTTTCAGGTGGGCAGAGATCCACAGTGACTCCGTTCGATTGGTGTTAATCCTGGCGATGAGTTGGTTCTTTCAACTCTTTTCGTTCAACCCAGCAGCTGATGAAACGGCGGTGATTCTGGATTTAGGCCGGAATATGCATTTTTAATTATGAGCAACACTCAGAAATAATAAGACAATATTACGATTTTAGTTAAGCGAATTTTCGGAGTTTTTATCAAGTATTCTGTTAGAAATGTTACTTACTTTAGTACAAAAGAATATACCATAAAATATAACATCCAAATAAATAAATCTTATAATTTAGTATGCATATAATAAAATATTCATTTTTAAATACGAGCACCACTACGATTTTTCGCTTTTTGTAGCAAGTAGTGTTACTTAAATAATTAAAAATATATTATAATATTTTTAATATCATATTATATATATATTTTACTTTATTTATACTTCGCTAACAAAAATAAAATATTTCTGTAGTAGCCGTATTTTGATTCAATTATGCAAAACAACATCATTGTTTTTTCGAGTTTTTCTTTAACTTAATAAAATAAATACCCCCCAGTAAATGTATCTCTTAGATCCTCCATTAGCACGCACATATCGAATCAATTAGGCTATTTTTTAGACCCCGTTCCCATAGATGTCAGTCGAGAAGAACTTATGTACGATATTTGTTAGGCATTTGGCGTATTAACAAGATTCCCAACACCTCAGAGTCCGGCGAGGAAAGATCAAAAAACCCATTGGGAAAGCCAATTGAAAACTCATCAAATCGAAATTATCGCCGGCAATTGTGGGACTATGAATGCATATGGCCCGACTCAAGGCGACCGTTATTTGACTTTCCCAACATATAGTATAATAATCATAACTTGAATTGAAAATCACCACGCCAGAAGGGAACGAACCGAAGTCCAATAAGGGCAATCAAACAAGGCAGAACCAATGCGCACACAGCATAATAAACTAAATGGAAAACAAATATTGGAGCTGACAAAAAAAAGCTGGGGAGTTGGCGAGTTGAGGAGTTGGGGATTGTGGGTTCTCCCGAGGGTTCTGTGTTTACCGAAATTGTCGCGCAAGTGCAGAGCGAATTGGGTCACCGCCTCTACCTGATGCATCCACTCCGATCGGTGTCGTATTTCAATAATTTCCCCCACACCATCCTTCTCCAAATCGGATATTTAATTTGTTTAACGCTTAAGAACGCTGGCATGCGTGGGCGTTTCCCGATGCTCCGCCGATAGATAGCCAGATAGCCATCGACTTGCTTAATTGTCGTGACAAGTTGACAGTTCGCATGAAAGCCCGGCCATTGTTCGGAGCTCCTTTCCCTTTCCCTTCCCAAATCCATCAGTGTATTAAGTTTCGGGCAAGAAGAACCCCACAAATCGGCTCCATTTATGTGCACTAAGCGAAAAATAGTGAACGCGAATTAAAGATGTTTTCTTAAAAGAGCTTTATACAATTTGATAACTACTATTTTACTATCTTTAAATCTAAAGAAAAATCTAATAATTTATTTTATAATGATAATTGCTTAAATTATTGAAAGAAATGATGGATGTTTGAAAGAGTTTGAAATAATTTTAAAACTATTTTGTTATTAAATCTATTAATCTATTGGATAAGTCAGCTGATAGAATCAAAATATCGAGAAATAACATTGTTATCAATATATTTTTGCATTCCCAATTAAAATATATTTCGAGTTCACAATTAAAGTGTATATTTAAACAACACTTACTCGCATTTATCTCGGTTGACCCAATTCCTGGCTGTTTGCCGCTCGCCTTATTAAAAACATCCGACTACCGATCGGGGCCCTGCGGTCTGGGCTGGTCTTTTTGGCCCGACTTCGATGATTCACTTGCGCTCGGTTACACATTTTGCCATTGACGAGGTGCCCGGGGTCCACATGCCATTCGAAAAGACCCCGGCGTATGCGTCAGACCTTAAATATTTACACCAAAAAAGTCACAATAAATAAGAAGCTTATGGAGGTTGGCAGATAGCTGAGTGAAAATTGTTAGATGTCAGCTAAAAGCAGTTGTGTAAGCTCTTCAAGGTGGCGGAAATGTGGTAATTGAAGTCACTGCGATCACTCAAGTTGTAGTCAGTTATTTATTGTCTAGTGAGTCATTTAAAGTCCTCATACACGTACCATAGTTCTAAAAATAACATTTTTAAATACTTTTGATGGTTAAAATAATTTTATGATATAATTAAAAAAATGTTATTAAAACGTCCGAAAACAACAATTCAGTTTAAAATTATCAAAGATGATTAAACTTTAAAAAAAGCTTATGTTCCTAGTTTATAGTTTAAGTAGTTCTTATATACTCGTAGATTACATTTTACATTTTAAAGAACCTTTACTTTGGTATCAATAAAAATGTTTTATACAACATTTAATATTGTAATATAAGAAATATATCATTTCATATATTTTTGATTTTCATTATTATAATTTTCTTCTAATTAAAATTTACATAAGGAGTGACAGTCTTATTAAAGTCGCTCTTAATACAACTTATGATCCTGATTTACCATAAAAATCGTCAAAACCCCAAATATTTCCATTTAACCTATATTTATTTTAGAGCCCCAAGATGTTGTTACTCTAAGAGATCATTAAACCTTGGTAGCATCTTTCACCAATTTTTGTAACACCCTTTAAAGAATACCTCCAGCAGGGATTCTTAGATCTACACTACAGCTTATTATGCGTTTTACCCCTCCAATCACACGCACAGTGTCTAAATCGTCCACTTTCCAACTGTTTTATGAGCCAACAAAAAACGAAGGTTGACAAAAGGCGCAGTGATTGATGCGCTGAAAGTGGTCGGGGGTTGGATCCGCCCGATAATGACTTTTTAAATACGATCCTAAAAGGGGCAATCATCCAGCCGATGACAAAGAACAAAGTGCGCGTAGATGAGGCGGGTTAGGGGACCATTAAGTCGCGCTATTGAAATGTAATTTGCATTTCATAAGCCTCCCGGGGCCAAGGATCACGGAAACGCCGGCAAAAAAGACTATGATGACATTTGAAAGAAGCCGTTCCCCTTAGGGTTCTCAGATGCGACAATTTATGGCGATTTGATGATGGCAAGCCCATTGAAATTCTGCGCCAAGATGCAGCGGTGCGATTCCCGATCTCAGTTAATGTGCTAATATTATGCAAAGCACTCAGGATCGAAGATGGTTCCGAGCAGGATGGAAAACCCGGGGTGCCAATGCACATGCAAAGGGATTTGATGTCGATGTGCATATATATGGTATACAGTGGAGGAAATTGGAATAAGCTTGTTTTTTACACAATTTAAATTTTAAAATACATTGCCTATTTGAACACAGAATTTATAATACAAAGTGATTGTTCAGCAAGAATTTTAGTGTTAGTTGTAAACGTTTTCATACATTTATACTATATTTAGTAGTTTCTTGAATGCTGTTTATTGTTTTCGTTTTGTTGGTTAAATAGAGTCATTAAAAATCGAAAACTTCTATAATAAAAATTACTTTTATAATAATTGGTTGGGTATGATTTACTAGATAACTAAAATTTATTATAAATTATACATTTTATATTATATTATTTATTCTTTATTCTATTCTCTTAAGCACCTCTACTCTTTTTTAATTTTCTTCCAGTGCACTTACTATTTACCTCTGACAATGATTAGGCAATATTGAGCAGAACTTTGTCACGTCTCGCTGGCGATCCTAGAGTTCGGTAATCAGTTTTCATGAGACAGCAGTGGGTTTCCCCAGTTGGTAACGGTCCTAACAGGCTTATCGGCCCAGACCTCTTGCCACCATCAATAAGAATCAATCAGCTCGAAGCAGAAGACAGTGGTTACTGGGTGGTTACTGGTACGAGTGCGGGTAACTGGTAGCTGGCAACTGGAGGCTTCCTTTCGACTCGGTTCCAACTCATTAAGTTCCTCAAGCGCAACGTTTTGTCACCGGGAGTGGAAACAAAGAGCTTTGTGTCTTACGTATCGTATAATGCCGGCGTAACTGGACGATAATTTACTGGTCGGGCTGCATCTGGACTAGGTCTGGGTTCCTATAATCCGTCATGCCTGGCTGCCGATTTACATTAATGCGCCAATTTCTGGGCGAACAATGGGCCAGATACCGAGACATCGCCGTCGCAGTCGCGCCGACTGTAATTAACATTTCTCGCATTATAATTTGCCCTTTTTTCCGCCATCCAGTCATCAGCAGCCATCAGAAATCAGACATCGGACACTGGACATCAGAGGCCCCAGAAAGCGGCTGAGTTGGCAATTTAATGTCCGCACATTTTCGCAACAGGAGCGGGAAATGATCGCCGGTGGGCGGGGAAAGCCACTCGGTTGGCGAAAATCGCTTTGCATTATAGTGCCACTCTTGGTGACTAATTCCCAAACGAGGCTCGCTTCTCGTTAAATCTCTTAGTGCAATTTTCCGCTTTACTTACACTTTTCCAGTCGCTTCAACAAACAATAGCCATTATAGAGGGGATAATTATCAGCGTATGAGACACGTTTAAGTAGGTTTTTATGTTATGCAAAATGATAAGTTATTACAACACTAATTATATTGAGTAAAATCAAATTGTAATTTAGTAGAACCGTATTCAGTTTGCAAATAATTATGTTGAATTTCTAATTGAAAAAATATTTTTTATAACTGTCGGCCCAAAATAGAAAAAGTAAGTAGACTTTTGTTTTTTTATATATATTTTTTTTTAAATATTATATACTTGTTATAAAGCAGTTAATATCTTTTACAATTAATAATAATAATGCTCTACAATATAAAATAAATATATACATGGAAGTGTTCTAAAAATAATAAGCTTTATTTAAAATTAGCTTTCCTGCGAAATGAGAGATAATGCCAACATATACTGTACCTATAATAATACAAAGCTTAATCAAAAGGTAATTTGCAAGCCGGCAGCAGTTTGTTTTCAAATCGTGTGTGGTAAACAAGTGCGATGAGATTTTGGGTCCTCTTATCTTTGTTTTTTATAAATATTTATTTCGAAGTTTTGGGCAATGGCATAGGTATTTTGTACCTATAATTTCTTAATTTCATATGACTTACTTATGCATTCTTAGGCAATCCTTACTTTTTGGAAAAGCAGCGCTTTTTACTGGAAATTCTGCATCATGTTCAGGAACCTTTGATGAACGACCAATGGAGATTATTGGGAGAGCAGTTGGTAACCGATAAGGATCAGTATGTGGTCAGTGCAAAATAATCAATATTTATCTATAAATAACAATATTATTACAATTCAAGGTATTCAACGATCACATGGTCAAGTTCTTTAATGCCTTCAATTTGGGAAATTTATTACCCAGAAAGGAATACTACAATCCCCTTTATGCAGATCATTATCAACAGACGCTGGGACTTTATCACTTTTTCTACAACACCAGGGATTGGTATACTTTGTGGCAAAACATTTGCTGGGCACGAGTCCACATAAATCCGGGTATATTTGTCCATGCTTTAACGCAAGTGCTGTTCAAAAGGGAAGATTATCAGGCTTTAATCATGCCCAAGGTCTATGAAATTTGGCCAGAAATTTATCACGATGAAAAAACGATAAGCAAGGCCAGGAAATTCAATTTTGCCAACTGGATTCGATTCGAAAATGCAAGTGATATTCGGGAAATAATTCCTCAAAGAGTGGAACCTCAAAGTTTAATGGGAGATCTTCGAAGTTCTTTGGAATGGTTTCAGGCAATGTCAGATGTAAATATACTGAGAATAAAGCAACAGAAAAAGAGAAATAAAATCCAGTACTTGTTAGAGGATATTGGATGGCAATCCTACTGGTATAATCTGAACGTGGGCATAGTTTTATCCGATGATAACTCATATCATTTGCAGGAATGGTGGTATTACAAATTAAACCAGATACTAGCTCGATATAAGCTCGAACTTTATAGCCAAAAACTACCATATAAAAAGTTAACACCAGTAAAGTTTTTTACAAAAGGAAGAAAGCAACTTAAAGAAGAATTCCCAAAGACCTCCAAAAAGCTTATTAAATATCTGGAAAAATTAGAAAGAAAAGTTGCTGATGCCATATCTTTTAAAAGTTTTCATCTACCAAATGGTAGTTTTATTAACCTGGAAGCAGAAAACAACTGGCTTATTGGACTTGAACAGCTATTCCCCTACGATTGTACACAATTAACCATTAAGGAATCTATACAACCTGAACTTTTACCAGATATACGCACTCTACTGAGGTCAGAAAACTTTTACTTCTATGCTGATCGAATTTTAAACTTATACCGCTGGTATCGTCAGGTGTTCTCTCCCTCTAATCACACACTATATATTCCCAGTGATCTCCGCATTGAGGATTTGCGGATAAGTCCCCTCATCACTTACGATCAACCGGTTGATGTAGATCTGAGTAATGTCCTACATGCCAAGCATTTTTACTTGGCGGGCCAGTTTGTGTGGCCCTTCACTTTGCAAGAACGACAAATGAGATTGCAACATAAAGATTTCCGGTACAACCTTCAAGTCTCAAGCAACAAAACGCAATCCACCATTTTCCGTGTTTTTCTAACCACTTCTGAACGGGGAAGTATTCAAAGGGAGCCCTTCTATCAGCTGGACTCCTTTTTAAGAGTTCTATATCCAGGACTGAACAAGATATCCAGGGAATCGAAGGAGTTTGGAGGGCTGATTGGTGACCATATCTCGTACACCGAACTCCATCAGTTTGTGAAGCTCGCGGAAAGGGAGGAATTTGATTTCCCCTTGAACATTTCCACTCCGAATTGTGGATTTCCTAGCCGACTGATCCTACCGCGGGGAGGTAATGGAAATCCTGTAAGGATGCGTCTCCTGATCCTGGCCACTGTCTATGATTTCAAGGCTCGGCAGGGCAATGAACTCAATTGTGACTTCGCCAAGGGTGTCAGTCGCTGGGACGAGTTGCCTTTGGCTTTTCCCTTCGATCGATTTCTGGAGGACGACACCCAATCTATGGAGATCTCTGGTGATCATGTCTTCTGGAAAGATGTAGAAATTCTGCATGAGGAGCACAATGCATAAAAATAGAAAAGTCAAAAGTTCGCGAGCGCTAATCATGCAATATTCTTATACACTTTAAAAGTTTTATTTTTGTATAAATGTGTCTTTATAAAATGTTAATGAGCTCCAAAAATAATATTAAAGGCAGTTTACATGATTGCAAAGAGTAGTTAGTAAGTAAAAATATTTTGTTGTAATTAACTAGTTTGAATTGTATTTGATATTTGTAGCTGAAATCAGATATTAATCTTTTTCAATGATCATTTTTTCTGACGACAATTTTTCTAAAAGAACCTCTTAAGATTAGGGTAACTCCATAATAAATTTCAATTCCACTTTACCGTTTTCCTGTCTATCCCCTTCCTAATCCTAACAAATAAACCCTTTAACGGATAGTGACGCTAAATTTGGGTAATTACAAGGCATGGAGGAAATATTAAAAAGACGGACCACTCCACATGGGGCCTAAACCCCCGAGTCCAACATGAACACAATATTAATCAAAAATACACTGAAGGAAAGTTAAGGTGTTTACTCATTCAATAAACATACGAAAAATTATTCGAATTACGAAAAGTTATTCATACAACTTATGCCTAAAATTGAAAGATAAATATTTTAAGGAAAGGTTATTTTTACAACATATTGCTAATCCAAAACAGGTGATTTTATTTCTTAATAAAAATCAACTTATCAACTATAAACTTTTCTCTATGCACAAGTTTCAAAAGCGTCGAATCAAAACAAAAATTAAAAGCGAACAAGAGTTGTATATGTCTGTATGAAGAGGAAAGGGTTTCAGGTGTGGGAGAGGGGCTGGAGACCCAAGGGGAGGGGAGCGGGGTCTGGAGACGACGTTGCATGGATGCAAAGCACTTTGTGTAAAGTCGAAGAACGGTTCAAAAAAAAAAATGGGGGGCGGGGAGCGAGACCGCTAAACTTGTTATACGCAATCGAATCGAAAATATGGGCGAAATAAAACGAGACGTCGAGGGGGGAGTGGCTGTAAATCTAGAACTAGTTTTGGATTGTGTTTTTTTCTTTTCGATTTTTTTCCTTATTCTCCGGCCCGATGACGCGGTATAAAAGAAAATATTGGACACCTGCACGGTTTCGTATCGCAGCCAGAGCAGCAAACACAACAACCACACGGCGTATGAGGGACGCGACGAGACGAGTCGAGACAAGTGAAGCCCGAATAAAAATTAAATAAACGCACGGACAGGGGCCGAGTAGCAAGCGAGATTCAAGACGAAGACTGAGCAGATAACACGTGGAAGACGATCTGGGCATTAAACGTATCAAAAAGGTGGAATCCGGGATACCCTGACACTCAGTTGGAATCGAGAAAGATACATTGGTACTCTAGAAAGAAGTGCATTTGATTTCTGTTGTCAAATCGAATTAGTTTTAAAAACCATCAGCTTATCATAAATTAAAATAAAGAAGTATAAAAAATCTATGTAAAAACGTAAATGTACATTTAAAAATAATATTAAATTTAAATGTTGGAAATAAAAGCAAAATATGTTTTTAATACCAGAAACTGTTTAGCAAATGGTTCTATCTAAAATTTTTCATGGTATACAAAATAAAGTTTTTATTTATTATGACTTAAATGCCAATATCTGTAATATATTTTATTTAGTAAGTCAAAAATGCTCAATTTTTTAACAACTGTTTTTAAATGTAACAAAATCCTAGAGCAATCAACTGCATCACTTGATTAGGTTGATTCGATAGGTTGACCAAACCGATTGAAATATTCGTGGTGATCCTGCAGTGAAAGAGTATAATTATAAGACTAGGCAACCGTAACGCGTCTTAGATTTTCTTCAGCATCCGTCTCTTTCTCTCCCTTCCGTGTTGTCTCACTCCCACCAGCTATCTCAATTCTGGACCGCTGGCTTAGGTAGCTGCGAAATTTTGCCTGTCCCGAAAACCCAAAAAAGACAGATATAATAAAAAGGCGCAACCGAGCGTAGAAAGATAGAAGAGGGAAGGACGAAAACTAATGTCCAGGCTTTTATTTCCAAGAAATTTAAAACTTTGCGAAGGAGCGAAGAACCCGAAAAAGGGGAAAAGAAAAATGGTGTTGGCTCTACAGAAAACGATAGGACCGATCCACTTGAGAACACATGGCAGGGAATCGGAGTTTGAGGATCTCGAACCGCAGGTAGAAGCCCTAGTAATGGATTCCCATTTTTTCTCTTATTTTCCCTTCTAATAATTTATTACGCCCAAATTAAAGCGGGGAGCAAGTTCAAAACTCAGCCCAGTCAATTTGCCGGTTGGTTTCCGATGAAAACTTTTGCCAACTAAGGGATAAAACCATAAAATGCATAACGACAAAAGACCAAAGTGTGTTGTCTGCCATTTAAGGTGATTCCAGTTGAAGTGCATTTTGTCAGCTTAACTTCAGTTGGTCAGGCTATAAAGTCTCCCGATCCCGTCGCTCCTTCTGTTTGCATAACTGTACAATCGGCTGAGAACTGTCGGCACTCAGAACTTGATTGCTTTTTGAACTTTCCGCCGAGTTCCCATCTCCAAACTCCCCCGCATTTCCCGCACTCCCCGCTCAACTTTGACAGGCTTTTTGCCATTTATGCATAATTAATAAATTGCCTTGTACGCAACGTCGCCGATTGCAGCGATAAAAGTTGCCCATCCGCTTTCAATATGACTAAAGACCTCATTATGGGAATCGAACTTCCACATTCCCCTTAAGCTAAATATAAAAAATGAATAAGATTTAAAAATCTTAAGAGTGCTATAGCTGGCGTTCAATGATTGTTTATGCATTGAAGGGCACTTTTCAGCTTTAAATACATAGTCCTAGTATAATATATCTTACCCAAATGGTCCTTCGATTTAACACATTTTAAAATCTGTCCAAAATATACAAAATTTGAGAAACAAATGGGAAAATCAACACTTTTATAAAACTAAATCCTAAATCGAATATGAGCTCATAAATTAACGTTGTCAAATCGTTAACTTCTATTAACAAAAATGTTGTTACTCGTTATTTTATTACACTTAAGGTTCCAAAATTCACTGAAATAAAACAAAATTTATAAAAAACTAAAGAAATAGGAATAATAAAAGAGGAAAAATAAAAGGCTTCAATCAGAGTTTTATGTCTTGCCTTTTTTACCTTTTTTTGGGGTAACACCCAACAATGATTTGATTTAACACTTTCGGTAACTTCGAGTAAATTCATATTCTTACGGCAACGGTTTACGGTTTTTGCCCTACAACTTTTTATAATTTAATACCCACCTTAATAAGCGATTAGAATACCCTATGTATTCTGAGGGAGATTGATAAAGCAATGTCCACAGCTTTGTTACAAAATAAAGCATTCATAAAAAAACAAGGTGTGACTCAAATCTTGTTATCAGCAGCGGTTAAAAGTATTCATGAGTTGGTGAGCTTGCAGGAGGGTTCAAAATTTCAATTAAATGACTCTCTGCTTGTCTCGGATGTTCATCATAAATGAAATAAAAATTAAAAATTAAAAAGTTTAAAGAAGGCAAATAAAAATAAATCCATTTCAGCTGTTGAAGTAAGATTGAATTATTAGTTTCCCACACTCCTCGTATTTTCAAATTCTTAATTAAGAAAAATTAAATGTAATTTAAAATAAAGTTTAAAACTACTTGTAAGATTATTCACAACCATGCAAAAGCACTTCTTTTGTTTGCCTTTCTGTGTGGGCGATTGCGATTTCAGTCCCCATTGGGATCGCGATCCTGAATCGGAAGTATTCCCCATGTTTGCCGGTTGCCGTCTTTTGTTTCGCTTTCAGTCTGATGAGCGATGGGAGGCGTTGGTGGCCCCTGTCTTCTGTCCAGTGTCTCTTGGTTTATCGTTTCTTTGCATGTCTCGAGGGTTGTCCAATATTTCTCAGTGTCTGACAGCTGTTCACATTCTCTGGACAGTGAAAGTGGGTCACCGCTGGCGCATTTTAATGGCCTTGTTGGGGTAGGTGATTGTGGACGTTATTGTTTTTTAAATGGATATCGAAGCGTCTTTCCGGAACAAACGATCTTTTGTTTGCACTTCATGCTAAAATTAGAATAACAAAACTAGTAAGCTGATTAAGAAAAAGGCTTATAGACAAGATATAGAATACGTGTTACTGTATAAACGTTTATATGTTATAACCTTTTCATGAAAGTTCCAATTAAACACCATTTGCCTGAAAAGTGTTTTCACTCGCGCTCATCCGTTCAGCTGGAAAATAATTTTTAGAAAAAAAGAGGCGCGGCGCACAGAAAAAATCCGTTTTAGAAGCCAATCTATGGGGCGGCAATTTGGCAAAACGCCAAATATTATAGAGCATGAAAACTCTCTCAATGAATGATGTTAAAAATAATTTTCCTCATGGATGCAATTCTCAGTGGGGGCATTTAATAACAAAAAATCTCGTTTTCTATGGAAATATCTGGTAGTTAAATGAAAGTTCACAAAAGCAATAAATTTTAGTATCTGAACTGCCCATAAAATGCTCTCCCATTACTATAAAAATTATACAAGATCAGGCGTAAATCAAGGCAGATCGAAATCGTAATAAAAGCCAATTGAGGACTCTGCGGAAAACAAGACTCATGCAGTTTTTATCTGCAAACCGAGAAGTACTAATTGCTATAATTGATTGAAAATGTAATATAGCACTCGAGGGCTTTCACTCTTCTTTATACTAAAAAACCGAGTAAGATTATCGAGCAAAATATTTGAATTATTACAGTCGAAGAGCGTATTCCGAAAAATACACAAAATTAAAATGGTAAGAAGAATTGTCTTTTGACAAATACTTTTCAATGCCTATGGATTTTAATAATGGCCAACGTGGTTAACAATATATAAAAACACACATACACAACTCCCCCTATGCTGCGATTTTACAAGAAGTTGACATCCTTGGATTGGTTTTTTAACAGCTTGGGGCCAGATCAACTTGAACTGCAACAAATTAAAAACATATTGACAAATACCCAGTCAACGAACACTTGTTTATTGGAAATTGAACGGTTCTTCAAGGCCAATAGGTTTGAATTATGTATGACAGTCGCGAAACTGAAGGTTGGAAATTTACCAAAAACTTCAAAATTGGGATAAATAAGGCTTCAAAAAAATTTGAAATTTTGTTGATCAGGAAAAAACAATAAATGTATTTAAAAAGGGTATTCAGCGAAATTATTTTAAAAAAATAGTTACTGTTAAAATAATAATAAAATGTAAGTAGTTACGTATTCCTTAACTAATTCGTATCAGTATAACTGTGGAAATTTGTGGGGTCGATCGCCAATAAATTTTTTTTATATTGACGTAAACAACAACAACACATAAGTTGGTTTTTACCGAAAACGCTTTTTTTAAGATAAACCATTTTTATGATACCAAGTTTGCAAGAATGTATTTTTATACTACATAAAATAAATTCTTTACATCAGTAATCAGGTTGTGAACTAAATTGATAGTTCAGAAAAAACAATATTTTTAAAAATGAATTACGGGTTGTTAAAACTCCCCTGAGCAATGCGATGTTTTTATAAAAAAAGAAGTCCAATTTTTAAAAATTGCATATTTGATTTTCTATATGAATGAAAATCAATGCAATCGGGAGTGTTCTGAATCAAAAGGTTTGAAACAGACGGATGGCTATACATTTTAATTATTACGTCAAACGAGACAGTTTAATATTGTTATATTCTTCTGCTCTATACTGCTCAAAAAACAATTCCAATTCTCAGGCTCCAACTTGTAAGGGTTTTCATCGTTCCATCAAAATGAACTCGGAAAGAATTGTTTTATTCTAATTAAAAATCGTCGTAATCTTGACTTGCAGTTATCGAAAGTCCGATAGGAACCTGAAAGCATCCCTTCTTTTCTAGCACGCGTTGTGTAAAGTTCACAAAATGGGAAGTCTGAATAAATTGATTGGCTTACCGTTGGAAATACAGGATTTAATCTTCCATTATCTTGACAAAGTGGAGGACAAGCTGAATTTAGCAAAAGTGGACAAAGTGTTTGAGGCCGCCTTTAAGCACCACTGCCGCAATAAATTTGAGACTTTAGATGTAGAAAAAGTTCGATATCGACTTTGGCCAGTTCTTCTATCGCTTTGCGGGGAAACAGTTTTAAATATCAATGTTGTTAGGTACGAGAATATCCTCCCACCGTTCGAGTACATTGAGCGATATTGCCCCAACTTGCGCTTTATCCGCTTGTATCTGAAGTCGCGCAATCGCGGAGTTGTGCGTAACTTCATGAGGAACATGCCAAGCGTTAGGCATCTTGACATTTGCGTCATTAACGCATCTTCCAAACTTCTAAGATTTCTTCAAGACCTTCCCAATTTGGAAAAAGTTAGGATTCTAAATCGATTCGGTTCTGAATGTAAGTATGAATCATAGCGAATATTTTAAAGTTGTGTATGACTATCCATTGCTGTTCTAGGCGATGTCCTTATGACCACATGGTTTGACGATATTTCTTTGGAGGATTACCCGGCAGCCTTGCCAAAGCCAATAAATCTCCATACTACCTTTGCCCCACTGAAAAATCTTAAGTTTTTGGAGTTGCGTGGCCTAAATTTGTGTTATACGGAAGACAATGAAGAGTCGAGCTTTCCGGCCTTGGCAGAACTGCGGATTCACTATTGTGCCATAATATCCGATTTGCCACGCTTCGCAAAGCTGACATCCTTGTGTGTTGTGAATCCAGCAAGGCTCGACGACCAGAACAAATGGGTTCTGAAACACACGGTCAATTCGGAAAAGTGGATGTTACGCCTCGATGACACAATTGTTGTGGACATAATAAGACGTCTTCAAAATCTTCTGCTTTGCCCCTCTTCCAAAAATTAAATTTTATTCTCACATATAGGATTTCAAAGATCACATTCCTCATGGAAGGGAATCAATCTTGTAAGTCAAAAGTAACTAGTATTTTTTTCAGTTTCCTAATGTGTTTGTTTATTATAGTAAAAATCAGTATTTTTCGTATAACTATTGTTTAACAACAAGTAAGTATAAAATGTTATATAAAATTATTCTCTTTTATGCTTTTGCACAACAATGAACTAACCTTTTAAAGAAAATAACCATTTTTATGACTCAAATACCAAGGAGGTGAAGTAGTCTATATAAAATGTTAAATTTTTAATTATAAAAAAGTATTTTTTACAGGCTTACAAACTCTTGATCCACCCCGCATATATTTAGTGGAGGACTATAATAATCAACTTTCAAATAAACAAATTTTATTCTCACATAAAGGATTTCAAAGACCACATTCGTCGTGAGGGGAATGTAATCCTGTAAGTCAAGAGCTCCGACATCACTTGTGTATGTAAAAGTAACTAGTATTTTTTCAGTTTCCTCTAACGGCTTTCAAGTATTTGTTTATTATAATAATAATCAGTATTATACTAATATACTATTGTTTATTAACAAGTGAGTAGAAGATCTTCTATAAAATGTTTTTTATTTGATTTTTTATCCTTTTTTTTTTTTTAGATAGGTTGCTTGCTTTATTCTCTTTTATACTTTTACACAACAATGAATATAGTTTTTTAAGAAAATAACCATTTTTATGTCTTGAATACCAAGGAGGTAAAGTAGTCTATTTAAAATTTTAATTTTTTTATTAACAAATAATATTTTTTTACAGACTTACAAAGTCCAGATCCACCCCGCATACATTTAGTGAACGACTAAAATAAACAAGTGGCGTTTTAAAAGCTGTTTGGCAATATATCTGGCCGACAGTGGTACCGCCTCTTTGAAAAAGGCAGCTTTTGCAACATTGCAAACAATTCACACCTCCAATTGATTGAGAGCGCATATTTTAGTCTAGATTTTTGCATAAAACGAAATTGGCTTTTTCACCTTATTGATGTTTTTGTTGCACAAGCAAGCTGGGAAAACAATCCCCTAAAAATAAATAACCTTCGACCGCTGAATTTCATTTAACAGCCAGAGTCGTGTGGTCCTTTTGAAATCGTAATTTGTTTTTTGAATAATTTAAGAATTGCATCAAAATGATGGCATTGCAAAAATGTATTTATTTTAAAAGTTTAATAATTTCAAACAATGGTTTAACGACGTAAAGCAAAAACTAAAAAGGGAAAGAGCTTGAACAAATAACTCAAGAACAAGCTGAAGTTTTGATCCTGCTGTTTACCACTTTGTTCAACTTTAACTCAACCAATCTTCTGAAAACAATAACGTTCGACTAGTTAAGAGAGCAGGTGATCTTTTAATAAAGAGCAAGTTACCAAGAAGCCATTTTAGTCTCGTAAAAACGTCAGGCGATCCACACAAGTAATATAGACCACTTTATAGACACAAAAGCTTCCAGTTCACACCAATTTAATTAAGAAATTTAGCGACTTCTGAGCCCATTCGAGAGCTGTTCGCTCTCATAATTTGTTTTTTTTGCCGACTAAATCGCCTTTCAACCGCAATCACAACAAAAGACGCCAACAGAAACACAGGATTCGCATTAAAACCAAAATCAGTATCCACGGATCCGTGGTCGTGTAAGAAAAGCCCCGATGGAGTGGGATTTAATATGGTGCGATTTGGCATGAGTCATTCGGCTGTTCAGTGTATATAGTAGACCCTCTAGAAGTCGAAACCATTCCGCTGAAAATCATCTTGGGAGCTTTTGGGGACAGACTACAGGGCCAGGGTCGCCATCGCATTTGCTGTCTAACTACCTGAACGTGGCCAGCGATCTTCGAGGGACTTGCTAATCATATCGAGCCACGAATTGTTGATCATTTAACTATGTGGCGAACTGCAAGATTTGCTGGATGACTCACGGACTGCAGGTAGATGGCCTTTTGGTCCAGTCTAGACCCAGTTGGAGTCGTTTTCGCATACTCTGAATGTCTGAAAGTCCCACAAGCCATCAACAAAAACTTCAAGCACTAACTTAGATATATAAAATATTTGTAATGCTTATTTAATATTTTTAATACATTTTATTGGATAACATTTTATGGTTTAACATTTTACTTAATTAATTTTTGTAGCTTTGGCTTGAGTACTTAATCTAATAAATTGTAGAAAACAGTTTAATCAGAAGTTATTACAAAATGTCCATTGATATTCAGGGTATATCGAAGCTCCTCTAGTCGCATAATGGCTTTCTTTCTGGCCGGCTCCCCACCTTATTAGATGTTGCAGAGGGGCTCTGCTCAGGTAGATTTATTGTATAAACAAAGCCAAATGGGCAAATAAGCAAAAAGACAGGAAGACAAGAAGACGGGCGAGATCGACGAGGCGGAGGGAGGAACTAAAAAAATTATTTATATTTGAGCTTATTTATGGCTTTCGGTTTGGGTTTGGGTTCGGCTCGTTCTCGACCTGACCACTCGATGAGTCATTTTCCGATCTGATCCACATGTGCGGAAACTGAACTCCTTTTCCAGCAGCACCTCATTGTTGTTATTGTTGCCCGTTTATATTTTTATTTTTATTAAAAGTTGATTGATTTTATAGGCGCGATAAGTTCATTGTAGTCGATTGGTTGTGTCTGTCGGCCGCTCACAGATGACTAATGTTCGGTCTTTGGTAGTGAATTTTGTCCGTCACTCACACTGGCGATCTCTTTGTTGTGCAAAATGCTGGTATCGGTGTTGAAAAGATAGTTATAAACACTTTGAACTGGTCGTTGACACTTGGATTGCCTGACTGAGTGACTTTTGAAAGGGGCAAGCAAAAGAATTAATTTCTGCCTATAAATTGGTTGTTTCTGGGGAATATTTCTAGACCGAACAAAATTTAACAAATAAATTAAAGGGCATTACTGGCTAAGAACAAAAACGACTGAGTAACAGACATCAATAAATTATATGATTAAATAAATAATAAATTAGTGAGATGATTCAAATTGAGATTTTAATAATCTACATAACATTAAAAAGAGTTTATTTTAGATTCCTTGCAACACATTATTGTTTTGTTTGTTTGGGCATTACTTAAAAATATCTTAAAGATATTTATGGCACCATAGAGAAAAGAGCCTAACTCGCTTTGAACAAATGATAACCCAGCTTTTTCTTGGGTTATTAAATGTAAATAAAAATGAACAAATAAATATTAAACAAAATAATAGAATATTATAGTTGTAAAGATAGTTAATAAGTCTAAACTCTAAGTAAAAAAAATTTGTTAGCTTTAAGCAAAATTGAAAATGATAACCCAGCTTTATCATCACAATCACAAACACAATGAATTTGTTTTAGGAAGAACTATAGTCAAACTTTTTTATATATCTGCGAAACATTATAAAATTTTAACTTAGATTCTTTACAGCACGCAAATGTTTTGCTTGTCTCATTAAAAGTAAAACCTGAAATATAAGAAAGGCAGGCATTAAATCGATTTTAGAAGCGATATCCTGTGCAGAACCAACTCTACCCCACTTGCATCCTTTCTAAGGCAATCACCCACATCTGCCACTCAGCAGACCTTGTACTTATTTCCAAACACCGAATTGCTTTATGGATACAATGTTCGTTTATTGCTCTGTCTAATTAATTTAACAGGCAAATGGCAAATGGAGGCCATAAATAAGGCCCGCAACTAATTGCTGACACAGTTTGTGAGACAAGACAAAGACATGGGGATCTATTGGCGTGGGCGCTGCTGACAGTCAAAGATCAGAACGTGGCCAAGAAAACTGTGTGGACCAACACCTGCAAATGGAAATGGGGAGCACGTGCGGGCTGGGCTCTTAAAAATCCCATTTCCACGGAAATTGAATTCGATTTTAGTGGCAGCAAACAAGAAACAAATTTCCAGTAGCACCCATCAGTGATAAATCCCATTTCAGATGCTGTCAAGATCGAATCGAAGCCGAAGTTCAGGTTGAAGTTAAAGTTTCTCCAGTTGGCACGAGCCGTACATTTTCCAGACAGACAAAATCTGCTATATCATCCTCTTCAACGCCATCATGATCCACAATTACAATGTCTGCCCAAAAAGAAGCTGTAGCTCCCATTCCCTCCGTCGATGGAAAACAACGCCCACTTTATGCACCTTTAAGTCGTGGGCACGAGCCCAAGTAGCCAAGATATTTTGTTTCTGGCTATGTTTTTAATTAAAAATGCTGCGCACAGAAAATGTCTGAAGACCCTAAACAAAATAAATGACTTTTACTCTGGAGATCCAAAGCTTCTTCTGTCTGCCCCATCGCACAATCGAAGAGTCATGGGCGAAGTGGTTCTCCGATTCTTTGGGTTAGATGGGATGTGATGGCTTAGGGGAACTCCTAATGCTCTTTGGATCAAATCTATTTTTAAGAGCTTTAAAAAAATCTTAAAGAACAGTGTGTCTTAAATAAAAGGTTTTCATTAAAATTATTTAAACAAAACCAGAAATAAAAAAAGGGAAAGCAACTTCTAATTTTTTTTCTTCCTTTTTTAAGTTTTAAAATTTTAAAACGGTTGCTGTTCTTCCTAACTTTGGTTAACAAATTCATTTAGGAAGAGCGACTTTCGATCGTTTTAAGCAACTTGGCCATAAACTGGAGTCTGGGCGTTTTTCCAACAAGAGGCCAAGCCATCAACAACGAACTACAATGTTCCACAACTGTTTTGGGCATCGTCATCGTCGTTGTCTTGAGTGTCTTACTTTTTTCCGACTTCGTATAGGAGTCTGCGCCTGCGCAAAAGCTGCGCTGCCTTGGCACGTGCGCTGTGGCAAAACCAGGGACCAAAGCGCACTGCAAGCTTAATTTGAAATACCCTGTGTTACAGAGCTGTAGGGTGTTGGTCATCATAAATCGGTTAGATCGCAAAACGTTAAAAATATTTAAGCTATCACTAAATTGTAATAAAAAATTGTACAAAATTATGATTCATATTTTTAATCTGAGTTACTAGAATAAGATGAAGAGAAGATAAAAGATAAAATCAAAAATTAGTAAACATTTTTACTGGCTATGTCACTGTGAATCTTAAGTCAATAGATTTGTAATTATACAAATAATATGTTTTAAACTTTTCAATTTGGAGTTAAAATATTTTATTAAATTACTGCCAAATACTGAATACCTTAAGCAGGAGAAATTCACACAGCATTCATTGTAATTCACAAAATATAAATTGATGCTTACTAAGTGTAATAATTTATTTAACGGGTATCTAACAGTCGGTAAAAAAGACGATGCCTTGTTTTAATTCGTTTCGTTTGGTTTGGTTTTTTTCGTTTCTGGTTTTGAAAAATGACATACAATGGGCTTGGGTTGGAGCGGTGCGGAGTTTGAGTGGAGTGGGTTGGGTTTTGGGGGCATTTGGGCTGGAAAATCAACTTGTTTGTGTGCGGCTGTGTTTCGGAGCTCAGGTGTTGGCCGGCGGATTGGATTGGATTGGAGTCGGGTCGAGTCGAGTGGAAGGAGCGAAAGCCACCGTTTGATGACTCTGTTTCGACTCGGTCTCACTTCAGAGCTTGATTAATTTACGACCTAAGGTCAGGTAAGATTGTGTACAAAGGGTTTAACTTGTCGCTAATCGGTCAAGGTTTCCATTGTCGATTTCCAAACAGAACCGAGGAAACCACAGACGGTTAAAACCAATTGCGAACGCATTTGGCCCGGTCTAGTATACAGTTAGCAGATGGCAGAGCCGGATTAACAATCTCAGAACCTTCCTAGCCCGACTCCTGCTCTTTTTTTGTTGGTTTACAACGCTTCTGGTCATGGCAAATTTAAAATTTACTGGCCGCACGCCAACGTATCTCAACACCTGCTCTAAATCTGAAGCTGGTTAGAATTGCGTCTTAATCAAAACATTAAACCCTTTTGGCATGCCTGCAAATTGCAAGGAGCCGTGCCCCTAATGAGGCTCCAATCCTCGGAAACGAACTGCAATTGCTTATGAAGAAACGAGACATGATCTCGACTGCATCTAATGAGTCGGCTCGGGGTCTCCGTAATTGATTGGTCAGAGGATGTTGCGGCTAATGAACCCAGAGGTGTTCGGCATAGTGAATAGCCAGTCCAATCAACTAACCCATGTTGGCTTTTCGAGGAACTCCTAAAGAAATTGAGTTTTTATCCTGCACGCGGCTCAATTTCGAAAATTGTTAATAAAGAGATCATTTTCTTAAATTACTTACAGCAAGAATAATTTATTGTAAAACAAAAAAAAATTGGGCTGGTAATTAAGTTTAAGTAAAGTTTAAAGAGTAAGTAAACACAATTTTAATTAAGAAAATGTACTTATTTTTCAACAATTAATCTTATATGAAGTGTTAGGACCCAATTAGTTTGGAAAATAATAGAAAATTCTGTACTTGGAGATAGAATATTGCAAAAAAAGAACGCATCTTTTAATTTAGTTTCTTGTTAAATTTTGGATTGTGTTAATATAAGTTTTGCCGAAGCGTAAGTAAATAAATATGTAATAAAATAAATTCATTTTGTTTCTACGGATAGTAAATTTTGTTGAGATCCAAAAACTGTTTAAAAATTCAGGCTTTAAAAAAAAAACACTTCTGTTTTTGTTGAAATGTTTACGGTTATATATGATTTGCTCCAACGAAGTAAAATAAATAATCCCTGTAACTTAAATGCATTATTTGGGTTCATTATTTTTTCCAATTACAATTTTTGTCCGTGAAAATTTATACCAAACACTAGTTAACTAATGATATGCTTACATTGTATTCACTTCTGTGAGTGGAAATCACTATTAGGTCACAAAAAGTATACCCTACTTAGCATAAATGTTCTCCACCTTCCTCAAACTCCTTCCCAATGAGATCGAGAAAAGCCGAGTATTAAACGAGATTATTTGACTACCAGTGTTGAATCCATTGTGGTCATGGTTGGCTCAACAGCTCCGAGCAGCAAACACGGCAGGCACAATTTATGGCCCTTAGAACAGTTTTTCAGACACGACGACAGGCCAGAGGTCCAGAATCCCCGTCCGATGGACAGGAACTGGTTACTGGTTACTGAATACTGGATATTGGGATACGGGGGTTTG